GAGGAGAATAATCAAGACAATGACAGTGGCAAGAAAGTCAAGCACAACAGGACCGACCGACCGTAAAATTCGGTTCTTGTTTTCGCGGCATACAGGCTTCGAGAGTGGACAGCAGACCTAACTTCCCAATCACTTGTTAAATTTGTTCCTAAGATCTCTTCCTTCTTCTCAAATCCACTAAATTGATTCAGTGATTCTTACGCTGACGACTGGCCGATCCTTTCAACACAGGTAAGTATTACTACTTTACAAAGTGAAGAAATCGTTACGACTGCAAAGGGGAAAGCAGTATTAGTCATTGCCATACTGACTGAAAAGAGGAAAGATGAACACAGCTGGACGACTTTCCACTTAATAAAGCGTGCAGATAGCTCCCTCATCTCAGGTACCTGGGAAGGGAGACTGCGTCCTCTGAGTTTCGACCCGGTAAGTCCCATGGCGTAAGGTCAGATGTCACCCTTTTGATAGTTGGTGCATGACTTTCATGCGTACGCGAAACATCGGGATATGAAATGTCTTTCGGGTGCCCTAAAGGTGTCTCCAAGATGCGAAGTCGAAGTCTGACAGCAGATTCCTGATCACTTATAGCACTACTTTACAATATCGTAGTTTTTTTCAAAATATTTTTTAAGCTGCTCAGCATTTGCCTGCAGCAAATGCGAAGACGACTTTTTGGTGTCCATTTTGGCTAGATATACCCTCCTCAGCCTTAGCGTACTTTTGGCGAAGCTGGGGTGTAACCGTCTAGAGTAAATAAGCCTAGTCTCGAAACTATTTTGACCAGAAAAATGTGTTCATTGCCACCCACTAAAAGCATTCCAGGAGATGAACATCAACAGTCGTAGAGTACTTCTCTAAAGAGGCGAGTTTTACCGTTCGTAAGAAATATGGTGTTTCGTTGATACCCCGTGAGAACAATTGGAGGACGCACACTTCTTTGCCTATCTTTAATAGACTTCAAATCTAAGGCCTTCAGCGGCAATTTTTATGCTATTGAGGACTTACTGTAGGGGCTTGACAATGCAGAAAGCATTTTCAGTTGACTAAATACGAGTGGGATCGATTGCTCAGGGTGCGGGGATTTAATGCTGGTTGCTGCTTTCAGCGTTGAAATCGAATGCTCAAAACGAGTAGGGATATTGCCACCCGGGAGGATGGGCGGCAGCCTATTCCTGGCCAGTGATGAGATCACTTACACCATTATTCGTATGTATTGCTTGAAGGCGAAAATGCGGACGAAAGGCATTAGCCAATTTCGTCAATTTGTCAATGTCTCTTCAGATAAACCTACTGACCGTTCGTCCCCTAAAAGCACCCGGAATGTCATTTCTGAGATGCAGTGGGGTCCCGGTCGGTCGGTCAACCGGTTAATTAGATAAGCCATTTGTTTGAGCCCAAATCTGAGACACAGAAATAGACCAGTTGTACTACAGCACATTCACTCCGTGCAGTTTGACATTTGACTGCGTCAGGTCAGAATGCAGAAAAAAGAATTAAAATAACAGCCTGTATTTTGCACAAACACGGGGACTGTCAGGTGGCCTGAAATGCAGTTAAGTGATACGCCTAAGCCTGCAACAAGGAAACAGGTTAAAAACGGGAGACGGGGGCTGGGGCAGCCGTTTCTCAATGCCTTTTCATGCCTATTCCAGATAGCGGGGACATATACTCAACAGGTCCAAACCATTCTGACCTAATTTGGACCGATAATCAGGGTCATTTGAATTGCGTTGGCTTCTTACCCGCAAGATACTGCTGTACGTTAGAACAGGTCTCGCCACCCGAAGTATGTCGTGTCATTGAACTTCGTCTAGGGCATCATAAACCCCAATGCTGCTTTTCTGTGTCTCGGAATGAAACATGGACGTGGTCTGAATTGATCAGCCAGCATTTTCTTGCGCATTTGCACTCCGTCACGCGTTTTTGGCCGCGAGGCCGGGTTCACGGTCAGTGTCGACTTTATGTAGAACTCCAAGCGCACCACGATCGATCGACTGGTCATCGTAACATATTAGCTAAGTTATCCAGCTAATTGCAGCCATTCTTGTGGTATCTAACCTGGATGCATGAACTCTTCTTGTGCAGAAATCTCTGGGCTTATAGTGTGCTTTTATGATCGCTGTGAACTTGAGCTTACTTGTTTTGCAATCAAGAGTGACTTTCGGTTTTTTAGACGACGTAAACCGGCACGAGAAGGCGTGGTCCTCAAGTCCCCACACTTTGTGAATTTAAATCACTGAGACCGATGGGGCTGAGAACACGCGCACAAGCATTGGAGACGATGAACCGAAAGAAGAAAAACAAGCGGATGTTTTCAGAACTTCAGGTCACGAGCAGAGCGGGGAATCGAAGATGGTCCAAGTGACTGACTGCTCTCGAGTGCTACGAACGATCTGCTGAGGGAACCGGTGGAAGCTACCGTTTCAGCTTTAGAGGAAGCGTTGAGCGATCCCCATACTACCCCGTAGAGTCAATTAAGTGCGATAGACAGAAGATGGTAAAAGCTCGACCAGTGGGTATCACGCGACCTAATCTAGTTTCAAATAAAAACAAGTTCGGAGATGTTTTCTCTGCTACCGCGAAACATAAATTGCTGCTTTCCTGGCAGGGTAAAAGAATGGACAGAGATCAGCATACTGGTTTGATGCGGGTGAAGCTGTCCAGGTAATGCCAAAGCCCGACCATCACTTACGAACTATCGGCCTTCGTCGGGGGCCTGCTGCGGGAGTTGCCAAATACAGACTCTAAAAGCCTGTTTTCTTAATTCAAGGCAAAAGAACGCGAGGTCGCGGTCAACAGGTCATAATAAAACGGCCAGATCATTTTCATAGCAAAAAGAAGTAAGTAACGCTGCTAACAAATACCAGGGACATAGAAACGACCGTTTTTGACCTGTTAGCTGTTGCCAATCAATGACACTCAAACCACAGACGCTGACAAACCCGAGAATTATTGGACATCTATATCCAGCACTATGCGCTTGAGCTACCGGCCTTGTGCCCCTTCACCAAAATATCGGTTTGGATCTCCTCATTTTGACCGTCCATCATGTGCCCCCCTAACATGCTAGGCTTAGGACAGCGACCTGTGCGCTAAACGGTTTATGGTAATTACTGACTTGTCAAGCATCTGTGCACTCTCTTCCCCCTCACCCAATTGGACTCGGCAGTAACGAGGAGTCCGGAGGCTCGGAAGCAGTATCGGACGCAGCGGCTGACAAGGATGAAGATCCTGTCTGTGCGTATCACCCACAATCTGGTTTGAACACGATAAACCAGGCACTCACAGAAGCCAAGAGAATGGCTCGGATCTCATCCGTATAGAACTACCATAGGGGTCAAATTGAGACGGAGTAACTGCAGCCCGACTCTCCGTCATAAGAGGAGGACCGAGTTATCCCGCCAGTTGGCAGCCTTCAAAGCCACGGCTTTTAGCGCACTGTGGTAGTTTAAAAGCACGTCAGATAGTCCATAGTGAGGAATATGGGCTGAGTGCCGTGGAGACGCAGTTCCAGAGTCAACCTCATTCCCTCCTCCCTCTCCCAGGCATCAAGCCACTGTCCGAGCCGGTCAGCCATATGATGTAGAGATTGGGCACAAGTGGGAGGCGCGGAGTAGGTCGGCGCCTAGACTTGCTATCATACCCCCATATATTATGTGTGTTATGCGATGCACGAATTCTGCGCAGCCCGGTTAACGCGTGCCATGCGTGTTGCTCCACCGCCCCTTCCCCATGGCCGTTATAGGGGCACGGTTGAGGGATAATAAGTCAGGTATAACCATTTCAGTGCCCCAACCCTTGTCAGTGACACTTCGCGATAGTTGATTATTCGTCATTACGCGACAGCCTAAGTGGGCTTCATAGCCAGAAATGCCTGGTTCTGTTATGCAGTCAGGATAAATTGCTGAGCATCAGGCTCATGCGACTGATTTGACCATTAGCGTCTTGGACAACGTTGGCGAACATTACTGTGATTTTCCGAGTGAAGCCTTTTAAGTTAAGCTACAATGTGCTGTTTCACAGTTTTACGACACCAGAGTACGCATAACGGGTAAACAGACGAGCGCCGCATTTAGATTTGTGGTGCTGCATCATGCCCAAACTTTCGAACTTCTTCAAAACATTCCTAATAACAATAAGAACATGGTGCTCCTACACAGTAAGTGAAAGCTGCCTTCGGGATTTAACGAGTCTCTATTGCCTTCATCAGGCCGGTTCATTCCGGTACGTGCAGACTTTAAGAGGTGCGAATTCAACGGAATTCAACAAATCGTTGTTTAAGTTCCGCAAATATTCCCATGTTACACTTGAAAAGTCAAGTTGGCAAACACATGTTTTCGGTACTTCTTCATCAGGCCGATACAGTTACATGAAGGAATGAAAATGTACAAAATCAACAGTGTTTATAAGTGTCTCGAGGGCTATTAAGTCATTAACACTCATCATCCCCACGCCGCCCGCATGACAAGGTCGGCGGGTGTTGGTCATCAGAGCTAGGGGAGGGGGGTAAGAGCCTTTGAGTGATGTTCTTGGATTGAGTACACGGAGTACCCATCATTGTAACTGGGGATTTGAGGCGGCATGTCGTCATCACTTGGGGTTGGCGTTGGCCACGGCAGGGAGAGCGCTTGTGTCAGGGTTTTCTGACAGCATAGCATCGGATTCGCTGGTCGTATAGCCACTGCCTCGGCCGTTGCTAGTATCCGTTGGCGTAGGCCTTTAGAGAAGCATGTTGGTGTCCGGTAGACAACCTGAAATGCTTCCTTGGCATCGACTCGGTGATTCGTATCGATTAAATGTGCGAGAAAAGAACTCGAAATCGACCGGGTCTCACCTCTGTCTAGCCAGGCGGGCATATGTTCCCGCACCCTCTTTACCAGGCGTCTCGTTGTGCGGCCGATGTATCCCGCTCTACAAGCAGCAAGTGAATGAATAAATGCACATTGATGTGGCCTCCAACGGTAGTCTTTCTTTACCCCCCCAAACGTGGGAGGGGAGAGTTAGTGAAGCATACGCGTAAATTCGCCGCGGGGAATGCCCTCGTGATAGCTGTAGCTAAGCGCCGTCTGACTAGTTTGCTCTCTGCGTCTCCTGCAAAAGGCAATCTTACGCATATCTCTTTCCTTTTTCGCAATCGCAACAGTGGGCTTTGCGGCGCGTTTCCCAATATTTCGGAGGAGTTCGGAGTCCTCAAGTTGAGGCCTCATCTTTCGTGTTTTTGACCCTAAGAAGATTCTAAAAGAATCCAAATTAATGACTAAGTAGGCTTACGCTGCTTTTAAAATAACTATTGCATCTGAGACACGGCATTCGTAATTCGCAGTAGGAATTACATAAATGTTTTGCATGCACTTTCACAACCTGCTGTTTTCAACTGTTCAGGCATTGTAGATTATTCTGAAAGTATTATTTCACCTTCAGAACACTTGTAGATGTTAAGTCAATAGTCTTAAAGTTCCTAATCCTGTCCGTCTCCGGCACAACACCTGGGGGAAAGCGGTTGGTCAGAAACAAACCGCCTTCGTTTGCAAAAACCAAAAAATCCGCTTCTGATCGTTGCTTTGCCTTTCCAACGGCCCTCAAATCGTTAAGACTTCTTGAGAGAAGACGCGCGTTGACCTTATTGCGCACTAGTGCAGGTTTACCTGCATACCAGCCTGAGATTTTCATCCTCCCTGGACGCATTGAATGCATGACCAATTTCCCTGAACCTTTATGGGCTTGACCTTGCAGGTAATTGGTCCGTGCACTTTCCGGAGGCCGGGAAAAGTACAGGGTTTGCCCTGCTTGGGCTAGTTTTAACGGGCAAAGTGCGCAAAAAGTCTTGCAGCCAAAAACTCGGCTGCCGATAGGTTGCAGTAAACGTGGTTCATGGCCCAGTCAGGTGAACGGACGGCATGCAAGCCATTCCTGTCAGATGATTGTACGGGTGTGGCCAGACAGTGGAAAAAAGTCGATGCAGTGATCGTACTGGTGTGTGCAAAACCAGTGCAGCCTGACCAAAAAGCCGTCAAACAGAAATTTACGAATACGCCTTCAAAAGAAGGTGGCTGAAAAAAGTACAAAAAAGGCAAGACACAGATTATTTTTTTTAACAGCAGTATTCCGCAGGGTGTTTGGAGTTAGAATCCAGTATATACTAGTCGAGCCTTAATTTAGAAATGCTAAGTGGTTGTGTGACGGTTATATCCTATCCTGTGTTACTGATTCCTATCACATACCGAAATTTCCGCGGACCATCTTATTTGGTTCAAGTTCTTTCCGGTGGATGATGCGTTCGTGACGAGTGTTCTCTTCGATGCGCGACCTCACGATATGGGAAATTACTGGCAGCCTGCGAAGGAAGTTATGCAAAGTTAAGAGAAGTGATTTTCCGAGTCTGCTGCATAAACTCGACGTAATAAGCACAAATATCTGTTACTAGAAGGCCCGGTTCTCTGGCTGTCTAAAGGTAATCTGATTTAAAACCCCAAATTTTTTAGCTATACAATGTACAACGTCGGCACAACTTATCGTCCTCTTATCACCATAACTTCCGTACACAGAAGAAGCGTATCGAAATCTCTGAGAACTATAAAAAGGCAGCTTATGGGTCCTTCAACAAGAATTCTATATATGTACATAGTCCCACCGTCACGGATGGCGACGTTCATCTCTGCCCCGCGAGGCGAATACATGAGTAGTGACTTGTGCGTGAACTTATTTATGCTTAAGTAGACTTGCGCAGCATCTGCCCCACTCTCTTCTTCCAATGGCAAGACGAACTAAAAGCTTGATAAAATGTGAAGTTCGACTAGATATTTGCAGAAGCCAGTGTAAAACAAATCATCGTGAAATTTTCGCTGCCGAATACGGTAAAACATCATACAAACAGGCCAGCGGCCCCCATTCGATTTGAACTGTTGTTGCAGATAAGACCTACAGCCTAAATAACCAAATACCAAATAAATTAGACCTTACAATGATAGCTTGCCTGACTCGCCGCTGATAATTCTTGGGCGAATCCCATCATGAATACTTTTGGAAGGAATCGGTCTGATTTCTAGTGGATAAATATTCACGCCTGACATTTATGACGGGAGTATGCGCTCGAATTTTGGGTTAATTCGTCACGCAACCGTGGCGGTCACAGTTAGGAGATAGTCTGTAACTGCGCACAATGGAGTCAGGTCCTGTGAATCAGCAACTGGGTCGGTTGTGGGCAACGGGCTGTTTGCTAGCTAGGCAGTACGCATCACATCAGTCAGCCTATGCACTGTGTTGAGCTCAGAAAAGTACGCCTGACTACGAGCTCGGGAGGGCGTCTATTAGTGCAGTACCACAGATTCATCGATCGCCTTGGGTCGCTGCACCGTGTTCGCCTGCACTTATTTGGCTCGAGCAGACACGGCCGCGGATGCCAGATGGGCGTGTCATTGAGGTGATGTCAGCCGGCGTGGCTGCTCGCCAGGAGAGCACACCAAAGACAAGAGCAGCGCGTGCGAGAAAAACGCGCACGGCAAGAGCCACCACATGTGCGGCGTGAGCACGAGGAACCAGGTCGTTGACGTATTGCCTGAAAAGGTTGTATTTTACGAATAGAGGAGAACGTTCGAGTTCCAGGTGTACGTGTAAGTAAAGATGAAAACTGGCCAAGCACCGGAACAGTTTGTTTATTGTTCTGTGCAGTATACTCCTAAAAAGTAAGAACCCGTCAAATACTGGTGAGCAATCTGGAATAGAGTATCGTATCCGGTGCCAAAATTGTCCTTGGAATTACACAGGTCAGACTAGACGCATGCTCCGACCGCCCCGCATACACAAACGTAAGCTGGCTTGGCGACGAAGTTACGAATGATAAAATTTACGAAATAGGTCATGAGTTCGACTTCGCAGCCGCCAAGGTAATCGCCCATGCCGGAAACAAGACAAGCCGAGGATTAACTGAAGCCTGGGCTTCAGATGAAAACTCAGTGAATCGATTTGTCGAACTCACGCCGACGTACAGGGCCATGCGTAGTCACCTCCAATCCTGCGACATCGACCGATGATTGTCTAGCACCCCCCACAATTTTTGCTTGTTCTGTTGTTGTTATTACCTCTGAATATGAACTCCTGCACGAGTTCGAAGGCTCAGAAGGTTAGATTCCCCGAGCTTCGGCATCTTTATTGTACTACTGGGCGTAATAAATTATCGACTTTTCCTTTGAACTTGGAAATCCTGTCTTCCTCGCGACTGATTTGAACTACCTTATTTTGGGTGTCTAGTCCGAGGAATTTCTGTACGATTCTCAGACTGAACACCCACGAGCTTTTTTCTAACATTGTCAAATCTCTTACCTTGCAATTCGTCTGTAATTACTTGTTTTGCTCTGACATGATTTTAATTATTATTTGCCATTTATAATTACGAAAATCAATCATATTAGGTTTCCATAATAAATTGTAACTTTGGTCCGTTTGAAAAAAACAATTCAAGAACCAGCTGCGAATTTAGAAAAAGGTTCCTCGGAATGAACACCCAGAAGAGGGTAGGTTCTTGAGCAGATGAGGACTAACCGCCTTTGCAAAATCTGTCCCTTTTATTCCACCATAACAAGTTTT